GTGTATGGTGCAGAGAACCAAGCCAGGCTGAGGACTGTGAAAGAAGAAGTAGAGTGATGAGGACAGGTGGCAAAGATGTTGAAAGAAGCAGCATGGTCCAGTGAGGACCTGCCAGTTTAGCAGGCCTGGTGTTGAGATGAAATAAAGAATACAGCAATATTATTAACTGCCAAAACCTGTCCACATTTCTGCTTTTCACAACAATTTCCACCCTGAGGAACCTGCTGTTAGCAGACTGGCAAACTAATCTATGCATTAGCATACTGACCCAACATTTTTTTGGAATTGAAGGACAAGTGTATATGTGTTAAAAGAAGGCAATTAGAGTACATTTGGACATCTATATCTGAGTCTCTTCAAAACGTGATATGATGTGCTGCTTCACATTGCCAGACAGGTTCTAAACGAGTGTTTAGAATTGAATTTGGTTAACTGGTTGATTTGGGGGCGATTACTTTTTCACATAGGGCAAGGTAGGGCTAAACAGCATTTTTCCTTCAATAAATGAAGCTATTATTTAAAAACTTACTTGGGTTATCTTCATCAAATTAAATTAAGTAGTTTTAAGTACTAAAAATCACAGCACTGTTCAAACCAGCCAGTGAATGGGTTAGTCCTGTTAATTATCTGTCAATTAATCTACTGATTGTTTTTGTCATTAATTGTACTATGATGTGTTCTTTCCAGAACATTTTTGTTACTAATTATACTACAAACTCATTATGATGACTCGCCTCAAGTGGAAAATATACCAAAATTATATTAAACACACACACACACACACACACATATATATATATATATATATGCTCAAAAATATCTGTAACTGATAAACAAGTGGCAGTAGCTGGTATCACTATCTTTATCTTCACTGTTTAGGTCTATGTTTAAACCACTAACCAAAAATAAATCACTGTGTTAATATTGCGAGAGTAATGAATATAGTTTTAGAGACTGACTGATCAGTGTTTTAGGGTGTGAGTTAAGGTGTGAGTGGTAACACTTTACATTAAGGGTCGCTAATCAATCATTAAATATATAATAATCAACTATTAGTTTCCCATTATTCAGTTATTAGTTAACTCTTCATTAAGCATTAGCTATTACTTAGTAATTGATTAAGCACTTATCAATTAGTAATTAAGTACACTGTTAGTTGATACGTTAGTTTGTCGTTAGTTTGGGGCTTACTTACTCATTATCTGTGTGCTAACTGCTGCTTATTACATTGTTAATTAACTAAGTATTTTTCTTCATATAATGAAGCAACGTGATAACTTACTAGCACTTATGTGTTAATCACGCTAATTATCTGTTAATTAACTTTCCATCACCTCCATATATTCAGTTGCTTCACTTTTCTCACTTTGGTTCTTGTTCATTAAAGATGCTTATGGTATCTGACCGTAAGATGAGCGCACACAAATTCATGGACGGTTTTGTTATTCATCACGTTCATCTTGGCATATCTGTACTCATATCTGGTAGGAGTGCATGTAAATTTGGGCATAAATGCTGTACATGTGGCTAATTAACCAAAACTATTATCAACATAATCTGTAATTGCAAAAATAAGAACAATAGAAAATTTCAATAATACTAATTTGTGTGCAGGACAGTCCAGTACAAAAGTGGATGTACTAACTTTACATGCACATTGATATAAACAAGTGCTGCAACTATTTCATGTTCCATTTAAAGACACATTACACTGTGCTTTTGTTTCATACTACTGACTCACAACACAGCTTCGGTCATACACTGCAATAATACAGCGTTTATTTTAGGGAATTCATTACACTAAACAATCACTCTACTATGTTAACAACACTGAGTATTTTGTTTTATTTCACATTTTATTTTTTCCCTGTTGTTTTCATTTTAATACTATTAAGTTTGGTCAGCAGGGGAGGAGTGCACTCACTGCTGGACATCAAACTCCACCCACGAGCACGGCCATTAGCTTTCATGCCAAACACTGCCGTTTTATTGGCTGGCTACTGAAACATCTGCATGAATTAGTGTGTGCTTCATGTAAATGATATGTAAATGAGGTGCTGGTCGGCTGGTTTCATGCACTGAAGCTGATTTATCATTTATGCTCAAATCTCCACTTGTTTCCACATCGTACAAAATTGTTATGAATCAGACGCAGAGCAGTTCAAACCTTATAAAAGGCAAAAAAGGTGTTCTTTTTTACGTAACTTTGATGATTAATGGGCCCGTTTGACAAGATTCGTGATTACTTCCGGTTTAAGCATTAGCAGGGTAAAACTCACTTCCTCTCCATAAAGCTACTGCAGACGCGCTGTCAGAGTGTTTAGTAGTGAACTATAGTGATCGAACTCTGAGCTCCAGCAGCTGTACTGTAGTTTTCCTGCTCGGCTGTGACAGTGAGAGTAAGAAGTGGACAGAGGCGCTGATTTAACTGTAAACAGAGCTAAAATGCTGTAGGTTGTTTTTACTGCAGTTCTGCTGCAGCTGCTTCACATCAAGCAGTCTCTGTGTTTTTGTACAACACACCAGCGATTCGGTAATCTTCTGTTTTCAAAAGAAATAAGAACTTTTATTTGTAGCATGAATGTTATAGACTCTGTTTATATTAAGCTAGCTATACTGGCTAGAAGCTACTGCTAACCAAACTAGCCCGGCTAACATGAAGCAGCTTTTTCAGATGTTTTTTTCAGCTCGGAGTCTCGTTTTTGACTGAGCAGTGAAAGGTGGATGTTTTCTGAAGTGCTGCTTCAAAAATTGCCTTGAAACCATAAGAATAATGCTCTTTGGCAGATCGCTAACATAGCCAGTGTCAGAGCTAACTTAGCTTTAAAGTGTGCTGCTCATATGAAGCTGGTGCTCCTGAAACTGCTAAAGGCAGGCTAGCTAATTAGCGACTGTAGCCTGCTAGCCTGCCGTAAGCTAATACAGTTTAAACGATGTCTATCAAACAGACTTTACATATAAAAGTTTTTGTTTGTGTTTATGTCAGAAGTCGCTGTATCCTGTAGCTAAATGTGTCACAGAACCTGCTCCACGTTAGCCGGCTGGTGGCAGCAGCTAATGAAAGCTAACTAGCTTCCTTATTTTGGGAATACAGCTACAGTTAGAAATGGCTTCTAGCGTTGCTAGCTAGCTACAGCTAAACAACATCTACCAAATTCATACCACACAGAAGAAATTTTATTTCTTTTGAAAACAGAAATATTACAGAAATCTCTGGCATGTTGTACAACTACAGAGACACTGCTTGATGTGAGCAGCTGCAGCAGCAGTAAGCAGGGCTGCACCACACACAGCATTTTAGCTGTGTTTACAGTTAAATCAGTGCTTCCATTCACTTCCTTTTGTCATGATAGTGCACGAACACTAACATATGTCTGTTGTAGCTCAGTATTTGAGCATTTTGATCTTTACATTTTGACCATTAATTACTTCTTAAATTCCACTTAATCAACGATTCATTGCTTCTTAAATTCCTCTTACTTAATCATTAATTACAGCTTTTGTGTTGTCACTTTACTTGGAGGGACACAAAAGCAGTAATTAATGGTTAAGTAAGAGGAATTTAAGGAGTAATTAATGATTAAGTAAGAGGAATTTAAGAAGCAATGAATGGTTGATTAAGTAGAATTTAAGAAGTAATTAATGGTCAAAATGTAAAGATCTAATGGCCATTAATCATCAAAGTTACGTAAAAAAGAAGTTTTTTTGCCTTTTATAAGGTTTGAACTGCTCTGTGTCTGATTCATAACAATTTTGTAGGATGTGGAAACAAGTGGAGATTTGAGCATAAATGATAAATCAGCTTCAGTGCATGAAACCAGCCTACCATCACCTCATTTACATATCATTTACATGAAGCACACACTAATTCATGCAGATGTTTCAGTAGCCAGCCAATAAAACGGCAGTGTTTGGCATGAAAGCTAATGGCCGAGCTCGTGGGTGGAGTTTGGTGTCCAGCAGTGAGTGCACTCCTCCCCTGCTGACCAAACTTAATAGTATTAAAATGAAAACAACTGGAAAAAAATAAAATGTGAAATAAAACAAAATACTCAGTGTTGTTAACATAGTAGAGTGATTGTTTAGTGTAGTTAATTCCCTAAAATAAACGCTGTATTTTTGCAGTGTATGACCGAAGCTGTGTTTGTGAGTCAGTAGTATGAAACTAAAGCACAGTGTAATGTGTCTTTAAATGGAACATGAAATAGTTGCAGCACTTGTTTATATCAATGTGCATGTAAAGTAAGTACATTCACTTTTGTACTGGACTGTCATGCACACAAATTAGTATTATTGATATTTTCTACTGTTCTTATTTTTGCTATTACAGATTATGTTGATAATAGTTTTGGTTAATTAGCCACATATACAGCATTTATGCCCAAATTTACATGCACTCCTACCAGATATGAGTACAGATATGCCAAGATGAATGTGATGAATAACAAAACTGTCCATGAATTTGTGTGCGCTCATCTTACGGTCAGATGTGACCATAAGCATCTTTAATGAACAAGAACCAAAGTGAGAAAAGTGAAGCGACTGAATATATGGAGGTGATGGAAAGTTAATTAACAGATAATTAGTGGGATTAACACATAAGTGCTAGTAAGTTATCACGTTACTTCTTTATATGAAGAAAAATACTTACTAGTTAATTAACAATGTAATAATCAGCAATTAGCACACAGATAATGAGTAAGTAAGCCACAAACTAACGACAAACTAACTTATCAACTAACAGTGTACTTAATTACTAATTGATAAGTGCTTAATCAATTACTAAGTAATAGCTAAAGCTTAATGAAGAGTTAACTAATAACTGAATAATGGGAAACTAATAGTTGATTATTATATATTTAATGATTGATTAGCGACCCTTAATGTAAAGTGTTACCAAATTATTAAATAATAGTATATGAAAACAAAATATATATTGTGGTGTTATTGTAGAAGAAGACGATGTGGGAAATGGAGTGCTTCAAACAAGCACTACAGAGATGTCCAGTTTAGTGGAGAAGGACAGAGGAGAACTGAACCAGCACACAAAGAACAGACCAGCTAAACGGTCTGTGAATGGCTGAGATACAAGAAATGTAATACAGGTTCATCAGCTCTGGACAGTGATTCAGTCGCACTGTTGTCATTTAGGCTGATTGGCCTGACGGATCCCTCCCCACTCCCTGTCCCCTCTCTCTCTGTTCCTCTCTCTCTCTTCCTTCCTCTCTCTTGTGATACAGAGTTCAGTTATTGTCAGGCGGTCATAGTCATGGTATATTGTGGATTTTACAATGGCTTCAAACGTGGCTCAGCCAATCAGATTTTAGGAACAGAACTATACATTTTATAAGTAACATTATTAATATTATCAAATCAATATAATCTATAATGAGCAGAATCTAGCATATGTTCAAGTTCAATATACTTGATGTTGTAGCCATTTTCTTAGATTTCTTGAAATTAGAGCGCTTGAACAAGCTTCAATATTATGAAATGTTTGCTTATTTGTGACTCTGTCTCTAATGGGTCATTTCTCATGAAAGGTGATGTTTGTTTTGTTCATGTACAGCATGCGCACAACAAAAGAACTTCACACAATGGAAAATAAAAAGTGGAAAAACAAGTGTGACAGAATTACTGACCAGAGTTTATGGGGAACCTGTGTTATGCTAGGATTCTCGTATCCCAGCCTTATATAGCCACATACCTAAAGAACAAAAACATTTTTTACATGAATAAACCATATGGGTTGACACATGTTAACTAAAGTAGCTGTCTGACAGACACTTGCAATGAAATATATGCAACAGCTTTTACATGTTTCCTATGGCAGCTCAGTAAGTGACAGGACACCATAATAGTAAAAGGACACCCTACTTCTTTAGCTATGCTAAGTTTGCCAGTCAGCTGGTTCCTCAGAGTGGAAGTTGAGTTGTGAAAAGTGGAAATTTCAACAGGTTTCAGGAGGCAGATTTGGCAGCTGATAACTACAGACATTGAAAATGAAAAAAGATGATGTTTGGATGAAGTATGTTTCTCATGTATGCAGGCAACATTCTCCTTTTTCTTTTTCCACTAAACTTAATGACACAACTCATCAGGGCTGAAGTGTTTTTGTAGCTGGAAGCTGCTCTATTTTGATTGGCTTTCAGAACTGAAGATTTCAACATTAACCAAGCTTTTCATATTGGTTTATGTGCTGAAGTACACATTTGTTTTTATTCTCTAGTGGTTATTAAAAAGAAGCATAGGGAAAGTATTTTTATTAGAATTTAACTAAATGACAAAAATACTGTAATTTAATTCTACCCAAAAAGTACTGTTACAGAAGAAAATGTACTCAAGTACTTTAACAAGGATAAATGTAATTCATTACTTGCAAGCAACACTGGAACTACGGAAAGTGGGAAAAATAGTTTGAGAAAGGCTGTACAAACGAAAGGTTGACCCAAAATCGCCATTTAACATTCACCTTTCAGGAACCGTTTCGCTTTCCAGAGTTCCAGTGTTGCTTGCCGTTGATTTATGTTGATTGAGTGTGTGTGCCCGAGGGTCTGAGTTAAACGTGAATGAGTTGAGGCCCAAAGACAGTTTCCAGGACTGGCGAAGATTAAAAGCATGAGGAAATTTATTGTTATAATCTTTAAAAAGATAAAATATCATATCAGGGATAATTGAAAAGTTTCAAGCCTATTGGATAGGATACACTATATTCTGTGGCTTAACATAAGTAAAAGGTGCTTTAAAAGTATCTTTTGCTAACTCATACCAGCTGTACAGAAGATTATCACTGCCAAAAGCAAACTGGTCCATGGTTTGCTGCATGATTAAAGAAGGGTTAACAAATTAATATTTAGTAAATGTAGAGAGTTAGTACTTTAGGAAACGTAGTTATAGTGGTAACTATGCAGAGGACGGACAAAAGCAATATCTAAAATTGTAGCCAATGTGCTAGCAACAATTAACATTCAAGAAAGTCTGAAAGAGCCAAATCTTTGACCAAATTTATTATTGAGCCAAGATTGTAGTCTGCCTCTCTACTTGTATAAATTCAATAAAATAAAGCATTCTGCATCACATATCATGCATGGTTCATTATCTTTTCACAGACTGGCTGTTGTCAAGCTGAAAAAGGCTAGGCTAGAATCGTTAGGTGAGGTAACAGACTGTTAAAATTTGTCTGCTAACCTAAAAGACTGGCTTCCTTTCTTTGTTAATTCATATGGGCTACTGTGGTTTTCTGTGGTCTTGATATGGCTTTAATTTAAAGTAGATGGCAAATTGCTGAGCAGCAAGTTGTGACTCGTGGAGGAACTGAACAGTGACTGTGTTGTGCCAAACTACGACTCCCCTTTTCCCCACTCATGACACATAGGTGTATGGATGCTATAGATTACAGTAATGTTTTGGTCCTTTCTATGTGTAAGTAACAGCTAATCTTCAATATAGCTTCACAGTAAGCACCAAAACAGGACCTTAAGTCAAACAAATAATCTCACAGTGAAAGTTTATTTTAATGTTATAAACTAAAGACGATTGTTGTTGCAACACTTGGGGGGATTGAATGCCTTTCAGTCATAATGATAAGCATTTTGATAAGTATTATGAGAACATAGTTTAAACACAGTTTGAAGTTGTGCATACCTCCATTACAAAGGTTTTTGATTTTTTTAGAGCATATCCTGTTACACACGTGTAAAATATAAATTTTTAGCATCAGCCCAGAATTCTCATTTGGTGCATCCCTAACTCCAATCAATAACTGTTTTGGATATAGAGATAGACAATATTTGCATTGATAATTAGTCATAAGGACGAAGATTAAAGGAACAGAGATGCAGCATTGACACTCAGATCCATCATATGAAGTTAAAAAGAAGAAAAATAAAAATCTTCCTTAATATCCTCCATTTAAACCTATGTAGAATGTTTTCACTATTTCACAATAATCAACACAATACTTAAATATCCATGCTCATACTCTGACAAGAATAGGTTCTAAGTTTCATAACACGTGTACCATAATCAGAGTTACATCAAATATAATTACTTGACATCTGTAGCATGATAATTTCTGCATCCATATACATTTACCTGATTTATGGGCACAGATACAGCAAGGCATACCATTATGTAGATTAACAGAATCGATGACACTAATCATGGGGTGAATGACGGGACTGGACGGGGGAGTTGCACCCAAAGTCCACCACCATTTCCGGTGTATTTTGCGTAGTTGCTGCTGCACCATGAGATCAGGGGTCATTTGATGTGTGTTTTCCTAGCTGCAGCTGCTGTCTCCTATTTGTCAGGTAGTCCATGATCCACTGAGACATGGGATCTTGCACAGACAGCTGGGACTGTTTGACCTGGAGCAGCGCTGGCACTATAGTGTTGAAAGCCAAGTGGAAGTCCACAAAGAGAACTTTTGCATAGGCTCCAGGGCTGTCAAGATGCTGTAGCATGAAGTGCGGGCAAATTCATCAGAAGTTTAGTAAGAGGTTAGAGCAGGGGGAAAGAGGTGAGAGAGCCAGGGTGGGGGAGGGGGCATGGGACCAATAGAGAGAGGCTGAATTTTGTCTTTTGTGTGTTCAAATCTGTGGTAGAACTCATTCAACTCATTCTTGAGCTGTAATTCATTCAGGATAAAGGGAGTGCCCTGCTGTTTGTCTAGCTTTATTTGGCCTCTTTATAGTGAATGGTTGGGTAAGAGTCTTCTACTGAGTTAACATTGTTGTAGTCCTCACCAACTGCAGCACTGTACTTAGTTCCAGTGTTTACAGATACTTAACCAGTCTGTGCACTGTGCACAGTAATACTGTGCACTGTTACTGCTTGCCAGTGGCCTTAAGATCAGTTGTAATAAAGATCTTTGAGTGACTCCTTCCTTCTCCCTTCCTTTTTTTCTCTAGAGAACACTTCCAGACAAATTAGAATACCCCTCAAAAATATTTTATCCACTGGCAATACCACTCAATCAGGAACTATAATTCATTTTCATTCAGATTCATTCAGGTCATACTTGACAATTAATTTATTTGGAAACACACAATTCTCTAGAATGACATTGTATCCTGCAGCATTAGGTGTGTGTGTGTGTGTGTGTGTGTGTGTGTATGTGTGTGAGTGAGAGAGAGTTTTACTCATGTATTATCATTTTCTCCCAGCCTAAGTGAGTGTAATCTCACAGAGGACATCTGTGCAGTTGTGGCCTCAGCACTCAGCTCAAACTTAACAAGCGTGAGAGAACTGGACCTGACATACACTATACTGCAGGATTCAGGAGCGATGCTGCTCTTTGCTGGACTGGAGAATCCACACTGTAAACTGAAGATACTTCGGTAAGATAATTTGTTGTTTTTCTCACTCTGGATGTACAATTTACACACATTACATTTCTCTCTCTCTCTCTCTCTCTCTCTCTCTCTCTCTCTCTCTCTCTCTCTCTCTCTCATCCACCCACATGCACACACACAAACACATAATCATGGACATGTACCCACCCAAACACATACACAGACATTATTCACTTTTGTTCTTTTATCGCAAAGGAAATGGAAGTTCATTCTAGTGTTTCCATTTAAAACAAGAACGGTGATCTTTCATGCTAAACAGCTTCCTCGTTCACTTGCCATTGGCTCTATGCATACTGGAACACTTTGTGTATGCGTTTCATTTGGCATATCATCATTTATCTCCTAGACTGTGTGATTGGAATCTCTCGGAAGAAAGCTGGGCAGCTCTTTCCTTAGCTCTCAGAAACTCCTCAAGTCTGAGAGAGCTGGACCTGTGTAAGACTGAACAGCAGGATGTATATGTTAAGTTGCTCTCTGGTGCATTGGAAAATCCACACTGCAAACTGGAGAAACTGAGGTGAGTTTTTAACTGCCTCCCATACATCGCTTAGGATTAGGATGATCTAGAGGATCTCAGCTTTTCTATTTACACAGTACTGTTTGAAGTTTGTGTGTTTGTGGGTCTGTGAGTTTCTTAAATTGCTCAGAAACTTAGTCATTGGAGACGATCATGAAATTTATAAAGTGTTAATGTAAAAGAATCTCTTGCTATGTTCAGACACTTTTGCTGCTGCTCCTGTTCTTCCCCTATAACATTTGTCTGAAAGCACTCCCCTAATACTCCCAGTAGCTGATTAGTTGCTACACATGCCCCACGTATTTACATTTGTGTGTCCTTCTCCTCCATATTTTTATTTTAGATAATGTATGAAATACTAGAAATGGCCTGAACAGCAATTTACAGCCTTTGGACACTTGTTGGTGTTTCCAGACAAGTACTTGAATACTATTCTCAGTGCTACCCCTAAAATCAACAATGTTTGTGTTTCATAATAAACCATAATTTTAAATATGTTTGTTCATTTTAGAAGATCCTAAAGCTGCCGACAGACAGACTGTTCATGTGAGCTTTAATATTTTGTCAGATATAGAGATTAATCTGGCTGCGTTAATGGTTTTTGCAGCAACGACACAGAAGCAACTTCTTTTAAAATTTATGTTTAGAGATGTATTTTCGTAGTCAGGTGACCAGACTGCACCTTTTGCTTCTCCACACGTGCACCCAAGGGGACAGCATGTACCCTAAGAATGAGACTGTGGTTAAATGGAGCTATTTTTTCAGCATTCACATAAAACGTGTTCTGGCAACCTGATGAAAATGGCAGTCATGCGACTGATATGCTCAAGGAGATTGTCTGTGCATACCAATACAATTGTGTGGTGCGCGTCATGAAAGAGCTCATTGACAAAAGATGGAAACATGAATGTGACATGGGCTAAAGTTAAATCATACGGCATAGGCAAGTACTTATAATACTCACTGTAGTTGCAACTGTGGACAGGACCAAAGGCAGGTGTAGTGGATATTACACTTTAATAAAACTCAAATGTTTTTTCAGTAAAAACTGAGATATATTGCTTTGTAATAATAAGCCAAGAAAGTATTGTCAAAAAATTTCTGCTGTGGTTTAGGTATATATTATACAGATAAGCTACGTCACATTAATCTGTTAACTAGTGTTATTGCCCTGTAATTACAACACTTGTCTTAGTCTGCGATGATCAAAATGAGTTTGAAATATAAAAAAAACTGCAAGAGCAGAGTCATAAGTTAACCATGTCATTATTAGTTTCCTACCTAATGTTTAAGGTCTTCTGTGTGAGGAAACTGCTACAGCAAATCACATGAATGATCATGTTTTGCCTGCTTATATAGGGAGATTCACTCAAAAGAGGTCCCGAATATTCTGTAATAACTCTCGCTAGGACTAAGCAATCTGAACGAAACAATGTGTTCTGTATATGGAGCTTTGAACAAACTGGGATGCTCCTGCATCAGAGTGATGAGGTATTTGCCAGACAGTTTAACCTCTGTTTGCAACTTCCGGGTGCATACCCCCATTCACGTGTCTGGCAGAAAACAGAGATCACTTCCAGCATCGCGTGTAATGCAATCGATTAAACATACGTCAAGATATGTAGCATATTTTTTGGTTCAGATTACTTCATACTAATGGGAGTTACAACAGAATATTCAGGGCCTCTTTTGAGTGAAACTTCTTTTATAATAAATTAACATGGCAGCAAAAATGCTAATTTCTGTTAGCTTATGCTGATTTCAGTGTTATATTAGCAGCACTCATAGCTGCAGTGACTTAATGAGTTAAAGGGTATTGAAACTACTGTAGCTGCACACTAAAAAACTAATCAATCTCAAAATAAAAAAAAAGAAATCTAAAAATCAAGTGCTGTATTTGTATGATAGTCTAACAGTCAGTAAATATTTTATTTTAAGACATAGTGGCTAGGTTAAGTAACATTTATATTGATCTGATATTTTTCATCTAAAATTAGCAAAATCTAGCATATGTTCAAGTTCAATATTCTTTATGTTGTAAGCATTTTCTTAAATGTCTTGAAATAAAAATGCTTACAAGCTTAAGTATTATGGAATGTTTGGTAATTTGTGACTTTGTGATGTCTCTAGTGGCTCATGAAAAGAGATGACATTTGGATGATGTATGTTTCTCATGTATGCAAGTAATGTTTTCTTCTCTTCCTTTTTCCACTAAACGTAATGACACCAAACTCATCAGGGCTGAAGTGAACTAAATTGACTTGACTTGATAATGACCCAAATATAATAAAGCGAGATTATATAATAAATATAATAAAACTGTGTTTATGCCCATCAGTAGCATTGAAAAGATATTTTACAGTAAGCCAAATGACTCTAACTGACATTTTGACATTTATGTAAATGATTTATTGTAAATGACATTTTTTCCAAGTAATTTTTGGCCATTTATTTTGGTCCATCCTTCATGAAATTTACTCACAATATAAAGGCCAACATGCATTTTCAAATTATGTCAAAAACTGAAAATGAGCAAAAATGGAGATACAAGATTTTGTTCTGTTATATATATATATATATATATATATATATATATATATATATATATATATATATATATATATATATATACACACACACTATATTGCCAAAAGTATTCACTCACCCATCCAAATAATTGAATTCAGGTGTTCCAATCACTTCCATGGCCATAGGTGTATAAAACCAAGCACCTAGTCATCTAGACTGCTTCTACAAACATTTGTGAAAGAATGGGTCCCTCTCAGGAGCTCAGTGAATTCCAGCATGGTACCGTGATCGGATGCCACCTGTGCAACAAGTCCAGTCATGAAATTTCCTTGCTACAAAATGTTCCACAGTCAACTGTCAGTGGTATTATAACAAAGTGGAAGCATTTGGGAACGACAGGAGCCACCAGCCAAGAGGTGGTAGGCCACGTAAAATGACAGCACGGGGTCAGCAGTGAAAGGAACTCTTAATGCTTCAGCAGACCAAGAGATTTTGGACAATTTCATGCTCCCAACTTTGTTGGAACAGTTTGGGATGTTCCAAAATGACTGCACACCAGTGCACAAAGCAAGGTCCATAAAGACATGGATGAGCGAGTTTGGTGTGGAAGAACTTGACTGGGCTGCACAGAGTACTGACCTCAACCTGAAAGAACACCTTTGGTATGAATTAGAGCTGAGACTGTGAGCCAGGCCTTCTCATCCAACATCAGTGTCTGACCTCACAAATGCGCTTCTGGAAGAATGGTCAAATATTCCCATAAACACACTCCTAACCCTTGTGGAAAGCCTTCCCAGAAGAGTGGAAGCTGGTATAGCTGCAAAGAGTGGGCCAACATCATAATAAACCCTATGGATTAAGAATGGGATGTCCCTCAAGTTCATGTGCATGTGAAGGTATATCAAATGTTGAAAGAGACATTTTGTTTTTTGAAAAATAAATGCCTATTTTGGGACAATGGCATGTTTACCACTGTGTTTCATCACCTGCTTCAGGTGCTCAACAAGTCGTGGTCTCCTTTGTCCTATTTTTCATTTCTTAATGTGCCAAATGTTATCAGTGGTGACAGGTCTGGACTGCAGGCAGGTCAGTTTAGCACCCAAACTCTTTTAATACGGAGGAATACTGTTGTAAAACATGCAGAATGTGGTTTGGCATTGTCTTGCTGAGATAATCAAGGCCTTCCCTGAAAAAGATGTTGTCTGGATGGCAGCATATATGTTGCCAAAACATGTGTATATCATTCAGCATTAATGGTGCCTTCACAGATATGCATGTGACCCATGCCATGTGCACTAATGCACCCCTATAACATCATGAATACTGGCTTTTGAACTGTGCACTGATAGCCCGGAGGACAGTGTCCATGATTTCCAAAAAGAATTTCAAATGTTTATTCATCGTACCACAGAACACTTTTTCACTTCTCCTCAGTCCATTTTAAATGAGCTCGGGCCCAGAGAAACCTTTTTTTATATATGGTTTCTTCTTTGCATTTGAGTTTTAACTTTTGTGGATGCCGCGACAAACTGTTTTCACAGACAGTGGTTTTCAGAAGTGTTTCTGAACCCATGCAGTGATTTCCACTACAGAATCATGTCTGTTTTTAATGCAGTGCTGCCTGAGGGCCCAAAGATCATGGCCAGCAAATACTGGTTTACAGCCTTGTCCCTTACATACAGAGATTTCTCCAGATTCTCTGAATCTTTTAATGATATGTGCAGAAGATGATGAAAAGCAAAAGTTCTTAGTTGTTTTATGTTGAGAAACGTTATCTTGAATTGTTGAACTATTTGATTGTGCTGTCTTTCTGAGAGTGGTGAACCCCTCCTCATCTTTACTTCTGAAAGACTTGGCCTCTCTGGGATATGATTTTATACTCAATCCTTACTGACCTGTTGTCAATCAACCACCAGTTGTTTTTTAGCATTACTCAGCTTTACGAGCATTTTACTGTCCCCATCCCAAATTTTTTGGAACGTATTGTTGGCATCGAATTTAAAATGGGCAAATATTTTTCAAAAAACAATAAAATTTCTCAGTTTCAACATTTGATATGTTGTCTTTGTACTATTTCAATGAAATATAGGGTTTAAATGATTTGCACATCATTGCATATTGTTATACATGCAAAACATCGGATATCAACCCCACTGGCTGATATTTACATGTAAAATATTAGTCATTAGCATCAGTCCAGAATTCTCATTTGGTGTATCCCTAACTCCAATCAATAACGACAATATTTCCATTGATAATTACCCATGTGGACTAAGATTAAAGTAACCTAGACTCAGCATTGACACTCAGTCAGTCATATGATCAGTCATGAGTGAGCTTTACGACTTAGAGTAACTACACCCCCTATTTTCAGCTTCGTCCACTCTTGGCTCAACTATGAAAAGTGTCCAAAAATGGGAGGGGCATGCTGGGAGGGGCACTGCAGTGATGTTTGGGTTCGGAGGTGGGGCTGCGAGAAAAACTGCAGAAGAGTTAACATAGCACCAATGATTAACAGCAAGCTGGAGAGGCATCTGAATGTCTGAAAACCGTGACAGCTAGCTTCTAATTGTCTGTTCAGAAGGTTCATATTTGATATATAATCTGAGTCCTGATTTCTTAGATGCACTGAATTCCGAATGAATAAGTGGAATTCTTTGGACATTGTCTAATTTTCATTCAGTTAGACATCAAGGTGGCAGACTGCATCGTTGGTCATTCAGGGTTTCCTGCAATGGCCCTAATTCCTTATGTTCTGCGTTCGTGGCATTTATCTGTGTTACATCCTATTGAGTTCCCACTCAAATTCACATTCCCCTTCATAAACTGAACCCATGGTGCACACATTTATTGAACAGATATCAACGCCAAGCAACACTGGAACTATGGAAAGCAAGGAAAAAGTTCAAGAAAGGCTGTGCAGATGAAAGGTCGACACAGTCAGTAACAACTGCCATTTAACGTTATCGACACAGTCGGTAACAACGGCCATTTAACGTTAACCTTTCCTTAACCATTTCACTTTCCATAGTTCCAGTGTTGCTTGCCGTTGATTTCTGTTCAGTGAGTGCAGCACCTGAGGCTTTGAGTTGTGAAGGGAAATGTGAATCAGATGCTACATCGGTTACTTTATGGAGACTCCTCACTTAATCGGTCCAACATATTTATTACAAACTAAGCTTAAATTAATGGGGTTATTTACAGTTGGTACAGACATCTGGCATATTGCATCCTTGTGAGGTGGTACTGGGGGTATTTAGCTCAGCATGTGAGTAGTTATCTCCTTGCTTTAGACTCCTATGCTTTCACATTTATGAGAGCGGCATGAGTAGGGCGTCATCTGGGGCGGTAATGTCGGTTGACTGAGTTAGATACTGTAACATGTCATCATACTTTGGCATGAAGACATCATCTGCACCTATAGCAGAGTTGACCAAGAGGGGAGCTGCAGAGGCAGAACTGACCACGATAAAAATTATATTTTAGATTTGGAAAGATGGTTGGTATATTTTATAATTACAGAGCAGTGTGTTTCCACTGTTTATGAAAAAAGGTCTTAGGGTGTAGTTTGTCTTTCAGAGTAAAGTGAAAGTAACTTAACTTTTTCACAATACTTCTAATACAAGCCTATGCACAGCAGGATCAATCAGGTACTAAAATGCATTTCAAAAATGCTTGAGCACGAGTCAGTTAGGTTCACCAATGGCAAACTCAACAGTCCATTTCTTCATGTACCTTGCTTTGTGCACAGGGACATTGTCATGCTTAAACAGTCCACACTTACACATTGTTGCCACAAAGTTGGAAACACAATTTTCTAGAATGTCATTGTATCATGCAGTATTAAGTGTGTGTGTGTGTGCGTGTGTGTGTTGAGTTTTACTGATGAATCATTATTTTCTCCCAGGCTAGATCGATGTAATCTCACAGAGGACAGCTGTGCAGCTCTGGCCTCAGCTCTCAGCTCTAGCTCCTCAGGTTTGAGAGAACTGGACCTGAAATTCACTGAACTGCAGGATTCAGGAGTGAAGCTGCTCTCTGCTGGACTGGAGAATCCACACTGTAAACTGGAGACACTTAGGTAAGATAATTTGTTGTTTATTTTTTCACTGTGGATGTACAGTTTACACAGTCTTTTTCTCTCTTTCTCTCTCCCACCTGCACACACAATCACATTAATGGACATGTCTGTGTATGTGTTTGGATGGGTATGTTGTTTGCTTTTGTTCTTTTATCGCAAGGGAGAGAAAAGCTAGATGTGCTGCACTTGAACCATCCAACATTAATTAAGATCAGTAATCTAATCAAGATACTGCATCATGTAAACTGCACTGTTCGCTTATACAACTCCCTCTAAGGTCTCACTAGAACTAAGCTTGAATAAAACGCGAGGTCCAGGCTTATATAGAGGATTTGATGCACAGAGAACATGCTCAAAAGTGGTAAGTGGTAAGATATATGCTTTTTTGGTTTAGGTTAAGCATTGGAATAGAGAAAAAAAAGGTTTATTAATGTTTTCAGTCAAAACAAAGAAAAGCTCATGAAATATTTGTAAAACATTCCAAGTGGATGGAGCATGCTCAGTTGGAGCAGTTAGAAGAGCATCTCTTTGATTGGAACATGGCTTCTATAATATATTTTATGATATGAGCTGCATAGCCGCTCCACAATATGCTATTAAGGACATTATTATTAGAGAATAAAATTGTTTGTATAATAATGTGATATGTGAGCCATTGACTGCTTTGAGAAACTGATGCCTCTTGAATGCAATTTAGTTTGAGCATTTGACTGTCACAGTGCTAAATTCTGTTGTTGCTGGTGGGACAAAACTTTGTCTCCATTTTGTTTTGTTTTGTTTTTTTGTTTTTTTTGTATATATATTTTGACATAATTTGAAGTCACCAGCTGCCCTTACATTGGGCAAATTCATGATGAATGGCCAATCATCTCTCTCTCTCTCTCTCTCTCTCTCTCTCTCTCTCTCTCTCTCTCACTCTTTGTCAAAAAAACCAAAAAAAAATAGAGGCTGTTTTTGCTTTTTGGAGAGAAAACGACACTTGAAGAGTTAAGTTGAACTATCTTTTTTTTCTGATGAAGCAGCAACAGTTTATTCATAATTCTGATGTATACACTGTGTCTCACACAGGTGGTGTCTCTTAAGTGAAAAGCAGTATGGAAAAATGAATTTTCCAAAACTACACAGAGCACCTAATGTGTTTGGATTTAAATTGTAAGCATATGGTTTATGCTTAAAACACATTTTCTTTTAATTTGAGGGAGACTTTACATTTATTCCATGCAGTTACTGCATAATAAGGTTTAAAATCTGAGTATGTAAATTTAAGCAGAAAATAAAAAATACCCAGGAGATGAAGTAAAACATTATTCAGTAACACTTTACAATAACAACCCATATAAACAACAACTTAATCATTGTTTAATGGTTTGGTAATGAGAGTGAATAATGGTAAAATATTTGTGCACTGACAAAGTTGAAGTACAACATGGTATCTCCAAAATAGTAACTTTTCAGGAGAAGAAAAAGTTTCAAAGTATGTTTATGTAAAGAGATTTTATTCCAAGTAAGTGTTGGCTTGGCATGTAAATAGTCAGGGCTCAGAATGGTTTACTATAGGAGTGTTTAGCTGTATCCTTCCCAGGATTTTCAAAGCCTCTTTTTAACGTGAGGATCTAGATAACAAAGCTTGCAGGAATTCAGCATTGATCTTTGATGTGTCTTGTGCACAAAATTATAAACATAAAAAAAGTGAAAACATTAATTGTAACAGAAAACAGTTGTTATTAAACATTTCTGCATATTTTTTCTCTTTCCCCATCAACCATCCCTTCTTCATGTCTCCTCTCTAATAGATATATAGATATATAGATAGATAGATAGATAGATAGATACTTTATTGATCCCGAAGGAAATTTAGCAACCAGTAGCAGTCACACAAAACAGGACAGTAATAGTAATAAGAGTGTAAACAATATAAAAGGAAGAATAAATATATATAAAAAAAATATCTTATCTACAGGCATATATACAAATAGGAAAAAAGTGGCAGTGCAATGTTGACTGTACCAGAAGGCACTGGTAACGGCATATTATGACAATACCGACTAAATATGTGCAGATATGTACAGGTAACAGCATATAGTGACAATACTGAATAAATATGTGCAGATGTTGGTTGCTAGCAGCTCTTCCTGTGTGTAAACAAAGTTATTTCTGCCTGTATGCTTGAAAACTGGAAAGGCTGCCACTCACAGCGGCGCTGGAAGCATTATGATCTGCTTAATGTCTACTTAGAGAAGCAATCAGTATGATTTTTAATATATTTTACTAATACTGTACTTCGTATTGCAAACCATTCCATCTGGGTAATCTGATAAGCATTTAAGAGGCTGATACATGACCCAAGGCAGAAGGGGCTGGTGAAATATTGGGGTTCAGGCTGATTTTTCATGTACAATATTGGGCTCAAATTCGGTCTATTTTCCAACATTTTTTTTATGTAGTAGATTTACCCTTTCCTGCCTGAGCTCTCCTCTCCAACACGTGCACTTTTGCACTCTCTTTCTCTAGTAATGTTATAATCTATAGCTGCGTTAATATCAGCACCAGAGTTCGAGGAGTGGATGAATCTGCCCTTGAATGAAATCATGGATAGGATGGATGTGCACTAGGAATGAAACGATTCTGAAACCAAGAATGAAACCGAGATACAAACGTTCATGAAGTCAGAACTGTGAAACCGCTTCCCCAACCTCAACCTGCTACCACCACTGTTGATGTAGCCTGTTGAGCTCTCATTATGTAACCTATATAACAGAACTCATTTTTTAAAATTTCATAATTAATACAATAACACATGCAAAGGTGGATTAAGAATTATTATTCCATTTAATGTTAGGGTATAAAAAGCTATATTTTGTAAATATACAATATAATATAATACACACATGCACACACACACTCACACACGCATACACACACACACACTCTTACAAACATTCAAGTCAGCATTGTGTGAACATTTTGGCTATCCAGTGGAGTACAGGGATGACCAATGTGTCATAGATAAAACATATGCAGTCTATCATAACATTTTAACACAAAATAAAACACAAGATAATGGCCAACTGGCATTTTCAGTTTGTTAAAAAAGGAAAACTATAAAAATAGAGATACAGTGTTTTGTTCTGACAACAACGATATGTATTAATAAATTGTATTGTTTAATTGACAAGACTAACTTACATACAGATGACATGCTGTTATACATGAAAGAACCACCTAAGACTTTCTAGCAGATTTTGCAACATGGCTCTTGAGATTCAATTCCATTCAGCCATAAAAGCATTTGTGAGGTTGGCCACTGGTGTTGGGCAGTCCATTTCATCCCAGAGATGTTCAGTGGGCTCTGCACAGGCTAGTCAGGTTCATCCACAGCAAACTCAGCAACCATTTTTTTATGCACTTTGTTTTGTGCACATGAGTATTGTCTTGCTTAAACAGGAAAGGCCTGTCCACACTTCTAGAATTTACAAAGATGGTAACACACAATTATATGATTATAAATCTCTCTATTAAATATAAATAAATATTAAATTTAAGTCTCAGATACATGATCAAATCACAGATTTCTAATGGCAAAGTTTTCTAATAAATGTGCATGCATAGTGACGTAAGAGGAGTTTTGCTGTCCAACAATAAAGGTAACCAGATGTCAGCATTAAATATGTGTAATAAGGCTGAAATGTCATGTATTAGTTTTAATTAATAATTAATTAATGTTTGGTCACTGCAATCTTTGTAGTCTTAGTGACTGCTATAAGAGCAGTAACTGCTGTAATGTGATGTTCAGTTAATGGTGTGAGAAACAGAGAAACAGTTCTATAATGTTGTGTCATGATTGCTGTCCTAACTATACACAAATATTCAAGCATTTGTTATCAAAAATTAACTAGACAAAGTTACCCTTACATGCAGTAAAACTGAGGGCCCTCAGACATGTGTGGGTTCACTTTATAGCTATACAAGTATGCATTAGGTGTATTTAGAAATATAGTAAATTACTACAGTTGTATAATACAGTATGATTACTATAAATAAACAGTATACGGGTGTAAAAAATGCTGCGTTACCATCATATACACTGAAATTTTTTGTGTGTTGTGACTATTTCGTTGAAACTTTTACTTTAGAAGTGTGGTTGAAAGCATTGGGAAAGTGTGTTTTGTTCATCATTTGACCCTACACAGCTGCTTCTGGGCAAAAATGAAGCAGCATGGCCAGCATAAAAAGAATGCACTTTAACTGTCTGGTTTTTAGGTTTTACAAGTCAAAAAAGTCACTGGAATTGCTGTTGGCTATTCATACTGGGAACATCGTCTTCTATTTACAGGGATTTTCATGGAATGTTTGAATGTTTCTCCTTGAAAAGTAGTTAATCTGATAATGTCCTGGGTTTGGACCATGAAAAGGGTAAGAATGAGACTTTCACATTTTCTCCACTGCAGGGTCGAACGGTTCTGAGGCGAACCGTTCCAGTAGCATTTCCACACGGACACAGTGCAACATGGAATGCTTAAAAACCAGACTCTGCGCTGATTCTTCTACACTGTTAGTTAACTGTGTTCAGAGCCACAGGACCATTCACTGGGATGATGTAATGACAGCTATTCGCTGATTGTTTCTATGTTAATGTCGGGATTGTTCCACTGCATCTTGTTGCATTCAGTTCGCTCACACTGTTACCAAATACCAAATAACAACAATTTCTGAATGTTAGCTGGTTAGTTTTAGCTTAGGTAGCATGCTGCTATCTCTGCTCACCACAGAACTGGTTCGATTCTGACCAACATATGCTTCCCTGAGACAAGTTGATACTGACTCAACTCTAAGAAAGCACACTTTCACAGCTGGTGTTGGAGAGGCAAAGTGGAAGTTAAACATGAGTGATGTATGGAACCATAGCTGTCTAGCTAAGCTAATGCTAGCCAGCTCCTCCTAGCTTGTATAGTGAGATCCAGACACCCCAGTAGACATGACAGGAATCACTGTAAATCCTAAAGAAATAAGTGGAAAAATTATTAACTTCATAATAAAAATGAATTGAATGTTTTCACAGTATAGCCAATACAAACATTTATAAGAACTTCTAAATAAAAACATTGCAGCAGTGGGCTAATTAAATCATCATCAGTCTGAGACAATGCTGACAGCTAGACATGGAGTTTCTTGGGGAATTTTGTTTGGTGTGGACATATTTCACCTTTTTCTTTAGTTTGCTTCATTTTGACACGTGAACACTAGACCTGTATTCAGGTCGATGCACTGCAGCTCCAAGTCACATCTACCAAGTACATTTCTATTCCTTCTTTCTCTTTTTTCCCCTTTTTTGACATCTCTACAACCCTGTGGTATTTTAACATGTTTAACCTACTGACAACCAGAATGGTCAATCCGATATTTTTCAGGACCTAATTTTCAGGTTTTCAGTGTCAGCATTTAAGTTTTATTTTAAAAAAAGTTTTTAGTTTAGTTTTTTCTTTGCCACTTGTAGTTATACACAAGTGGGCTTGGGGTGAAAAAGCTTAAGAACCCCTGGCTTAGGTTAAGGCTAGACTAAGCTAACACTAGAGTACAGTGCCTCTCACTGCAGTACAGGCTTTGCCAAGTTCTAGCACACTAAAAAAACCTTTTGTTTAGAGAAAAAAGACTCATATCTGAGATCACAAATTTGAATGTCTGGTGCTGAAGTGACAAAGATAAAAAAGAAAGTTCTTTGGCTGTGAGAGCTGTACTCTTCTGAGCAAAGCTAATGTTAGCATAGTTAGCTGGCTACAGGTGCAATACACCTCAGTACAGGGTTAGTTTCGGTATCTGATGCTCAAGTAACACCCATTTAAATGATAAAGGATCTGAGAGCACGCTGAGTGTCCGGTGATGGAGTGAAAAATTAAATCAAACATGTTTTGTGGTACATGTGTGTGTAGGTATTAGCATGTTAGCAGTTAACCACTCTTTTGTGTAGTTTTCTTAATTATTTCCTGGTTCTGATTTACCAGTACAGAAGATGGGAAAAGAAACTGGAACTTGTCTCCTAAGTTTGCATCAGCATGGAATGGAACCATTTGGCTCTACAGTGGAAAAAAGACCATAGTGTTTGGTATGTGTGTGTGTGTGTGTGTGTGTGTGTGTGTGTGTGTGTGTGTTGAACTGTAAATGTGAAGAGTTGTTCTTTTTCTCTCTGCAGTCTGGGTGGCTGCAATATTACAGAAGAAGACTGGCATGCTCTGATTAAAGCTCTGAAATCAAACCCCTCACACCTGAGAAAGCTGTATCTGATCAACATATCAGTATCTTCAGTACTGAAGGAGCTCTCTGATCTACTGCAGGATCCACACTGTAAACTGGAGAAACTACAGTGAGTTACTGACTTACTGTCTCTACACACACAAACACAGTAAAACAGAGGGGTGTACTATAAAGCAGCATTTCTGTGTTAACAAGCTAACTTACTGTTTAATTTTACTGTTAATTTTCCACTTTATTAATTTATTTTTAGGTTGTGTAACATCAAAACAGCTGATTTTGTGCTGAATATTTGCTTTTTTGTTTTGTTTTTGTTTTTTTTTTTTGGCGGTTGCGTGGAAGAGGCAATTTGCATATCCTGTCTGAATCAGGCTAGTCGTCACTGCACATAACTGAAAAAAATAATAAAAAAAAAAAAACATTAACCCACACCAAAATGCACTCTTCATGGAAGAATCTTTCATTAAATAATCTTTAGTTGTTTCATGACACTCAACTTGAGGACATCAAAGTTCTCCAACTTCTTAGTTGAGTCAAAAGTTCTCTCATTTGTGGTTTCTCAGTAAACAATATAATTTGTTTCCCCATTAGCTGGGACTCTTTCTATGACCCAATCCCACCAGGCATTTTCTCCTCATGGGCTTCCAGTTATAGAAAGCAGAGGGAGGAAGTTAAAACCAGAAATATTTTACAGTGTATTAAATATTTAAAAAAAAAAGAAATCAGGAGCTTGTGAGTGGTGCAGTGGGCTAAGCATTCAGCCCTACCAGGATTCTGCAATTAAACCCTAGTGATGCCATAGCCATCCATAACTGAGATCCTAAGAGGAAAAAATGTCTGATAGAATGATTGAAAGTATCTCAGCTAGTGGGGAAAATAAGCAAAAACTCATACACTGTACATAATTTACAAATTGAGATAAAAAACTAAAAAATACGAGTTAAGAAAACTTCTGAATAATCAAAGAGGTTTGAGTTGGTGTCCTCATGTTCCATCAGTTACTTTATGATTTTTAGTTGAGATGATTTTCACTTTTAACTGTGAACCTGTTGAAACAAATCAATATATCTAGTAGGGGTGGGAATCTTTAGGCACCTCATGATTCGATTTGATTATGATTCAGAGGGTGCAATGCGATTATAAAATGATTATTGATGCATCTTGATGCATCTTTTTTTCTATACAGGATTTCTATTTTCTCACTGTGTGAGGACTTTGTACTTTTAAAGCAAAGTATTTGTAATGATCCATAACGCAATTACTTCCAATATCTTTTCTTAATAAATCAAATGGAAGTGATCTAGAAGGCTCTCATTCACTGCTCTTGTTTGAGACACTGCTGCCACTAATCTGCGATAAAATGCACTGTTAGGGTGACATGAGATCCAGTGGTAATGGATGTCCACATGTTACAGCTGTCCTAACCATTTAATTCAGTGATTTTATAACTTCGGCTTTGGTCTCGTTGTTTAGAGTCAGGGCTCACTGTGTCAGTAAAATATTTTCGAGACTGGACACTGAATCTTGGCTCCAAAGTGTGCAACATAGCATGAAAGCCCTGGTTCTCAATGACTGAGAAGACTGCAGGTCACATAGCAGTGAAGTCTCACCTGGCTAGTAGCTACGAAAAGGCAAAGAGATTTAAGATGAACATTTGTTTAATGGACATATTTGCATTTATAAGCAGCGCAGTTGGTTTCCTGGAATGTTAAATCTGCAACGAGAGACTGTCAAACACTAAAACATTGCGAAGATGAAGTTGCTTCTCTTTCGAATTTACCCGTTCCACCTAAAATCGTGCAGCTACATTCGGCGCCTCAGGCAGAATTTAAGGTGGAATGGGAAAATTCGAACAAGAAGCTGGAGAATAAGAAGTGACTTCAGCCTTGTAAAACAGCCGAACGTTGAGAGACATTTTACAATAAGCTGCTCTAGTTCTGAGGAAAAGTTTTCTGATGGAGATGCGAGGAAAGCGGCTATAGCTGAGCTAAAGCTTAAAACAGAGCAAAGTAAATCTGCGCTCTTGTTTATATTTTTAGCCTGTACTAGGACATCAGCACCTACTGAGTCATACTAGACATTAAATGTTGTGGCTCCCAAGGTGGTTTGATTTTTGTTGAAAGGACAAAATGGCTCTTCTTAACATTTGGGTTGTGACTCCTGACCTAACCTGTCTTTTAATGCAGAGGGAGCCAGTTGGTTTTCTCGCTCATTCATGTGTGTTTTTGTTATGTGCCGCCACAGACTGTCGGGTGCTGCACTTACCCACTTCCAAGTTCAGCTTTTTACGTTCTGTCAACATTATGGTATAAATTAAATATTTAGAAAATCGATTTTTGACATTTATGAATCGATTCAGAATCGTCCGCATCGTGATGCATCTAAGAATTGAGTTTTTCCCGCACCCCTAATATCTAGTATAACAGAGGGGGATGGAAAGTCATCAGTGTCTTTGTTTGCTGACAAAGTGTTGCTGTACTTGACAGATCCACAGACCTCAATTCCTTAAACATGATTATTCAGAACAGTAAATTCCTACATTATAAAAACCTAAATAAATTTTTGGCAATGCATTTAAATATCCCTCCAAATACTATATGGAATTATTCTTTTCACCCAGATGACTCTGAGCCTTATTGCTCTGGTTTAAAACTGAAGAACCTTGAGAGGTTGAGCACATCTCAAACTGCAGAGAAACTTTAGACACCTTACATTTTAACTTGGCAGCAGCCATAAAAACATATTAGTAGCCACAAGACACACTAGTATGGCATTCTTCTGATTTTTGCACAGGCCAGTTTTATTTTTTCTCAGGGTAAAATCAATAAACAGTAATTGTGCATTAAAATGTGCAGAAGTGTATTCTCTGTAGAAGAGGTGTTAAATTATTTTCACTTGGACAATCAACAAAACATGGAATTTGACTGGGATGCACAAACCTTCGAGTAAAAAGTGTAGGTATATGTACAAATGTTTGGAAATAATCAAAACGACCTCATATAAGAGTAAATAATCATATATTATGTGTCTGAAGAATACATACATACATACATACATACATCATCTAAACTGCTTATTGTCTGAAGAATAATGCGTGTGAATGCATGAAGATTAGAGAGAGAGAGTAATGATGCCCTGAATATAGTGGTATTTGCTCTCCTGATTGTAAGTTGTTTGATAGGAGTGTTTGCTTTTGTGTCATGAAAGTGTGCTATTTTGGCCTGTAAGCCTCTGTTTAGTATCACATGTTGACTATTTTGAGAATATTAAATCTGAATAGACAAAATTGTTCAAACAACTGAGAAAACTACAATTTTGTCTTTTATGTGCCTGTGTGTGTTGAGCTATAAATGTGAAAAGCTTTTCTTTTCACTGCAGGCTGGCTTTTTTTTTGCTTGTAGCTGACCTTGCTCCTGTGCTTAAAGCTCTGAAATCAAACCCATCGCACCTGAGAGAGCTGAATGTGAAATGGAGTAATCTACGTGATTCAGGAGTGAAGGAGCTCTCTAATCTACTGAAGGATCCACACTGTAAACTGGAGAAACTACAGTGAGTTACTGACAGTTTTCATTAGGAAGCTGATTTATGTGCATATAGTGAGGAGATAATACTGAAATTGTGTGCATCAATATTCAGAGTATACACAAACCTACAGACAAACATAAAAAAGAGGCGTGTCTTAGTTATCCATTATTCAGACTCTGAACTTTTCTCTTGCATGATATCCAGTCTAGCCAGGAGCTGTCCAGCTTCACTGCTTGAACATTTGTTTTAACCACCTTATTTTACACTGATATTCATGTCTGAGTGATATACAAACAAAAGTTAAACACAATCACTTAAATTACTACAAAAAGTGTAACAAAATGAAAATACTCACTGAAATATTTGAAATATAAATGCAAAAACAAATGGTCATTATTCAGATCATTATCATCACAATAATTTAAAAATTATGTTTAAATGATAATTTAAATAAATTAATTCACTTGCCTATAAAGCTATTGATGGTGTTGAACAGATCACAAGCAGTACTACAGTTTTGCCATTGCTTCATGAGTTTCATGTCAACTCATTTATAGTCTGAAAGGACACAATGTGGATTTACATGAAAAGCATTCAAGCAAAGCTGTTTTCTCTAGTTTTAGTTAAACTAAACTAAACTTTTAGTTAACTAAACAGTTAAAAACAGTTTAAATCATCTGAAATACTGAGTTTTACTTTTACTTTTCATTGTTTCATTCAAAGTATTTAAGTTAAACCAAAGAAAGTTAAATAGTTTGTTCTCAAAATAGATTCATATATTTTTGTATCACAGCATATAAACTTTCAAAATATTTTTTAAGGAATCTCGGTATTATGTAGTATTCTTACATTTTTTTCAAATGAATTATTCATCTCTAAATGCAATATTTCAAGCCATAGGCTTTTTATAGGCCTCTGCATCTACACTTTATTAAAATATAGTATTTCTGTTTTCTTCAGTAACACTTTACTTGAAGGGTGTCTACAAAAAACGTTCATAACATCCTACATAAACACTCCATAACATGCTCATTAATGTTTAAATCAACATTCATAAAGACATTCATGCATGTTTCACATGACATTAATATGGACTACCATGTTATTTTACTCAGATATATTTTTTCAAAACATGTCCTCAAATGTTATTTAAAAACTATATTATTTTCAGTGAAATGCCTCATTTCTGGACAGCCAAGAAAAAATGACCTGGCTTTGCTCCTTTGGACAGAAAGTGCTTTGTATCGCGTCTTTCAAACTTTTCCCTGAATAATAATACTTATGATTAATAAATAAAATGTGATTAATATATGACAATTGCAGATGTGCTATGACCCCTTTATTGGTCATTTTCTTTAATATGAGGTATTTGTCTATAGTCTATTACATTTATAAATCTTTTATAACACTCCAGAAAACCAACAAAAAAAAGACAAAAAAGTCATTTTTGGATAAATAATATATAATTATTTTGTTATTGTGGGGTATGTTACGTTCAGAATGTGTTACTGTTTAATTTCTATGTATCCAATGCAGTAAATGTTTAATTCTAGAGGAAAAGTGCATAAGTGCAGTGCAGCTCTGAAAGAGATTAATTTAAATGTCACTTTTTTGTCTTGTGTATGATATTTAAATAATTTCATGTTCTACACATTGTGATTGTGTTATTAGTTACAACCCATTCTTAGAGATTTTATTTCTGAGAGATATTGTGAGTTCACAAATGTGTAAATTGTGTAACAATTTTTATGAATGTGTTTGTAAATATTTTAAAATGGATAATCCTGAACATTTATTCCACCCAAACACTGCAGCTTGCCCTGTGAGCAGAAACAGCGCTGTCTTCGTCTCTGTTGAATATATTAATTACAAAGTGCAGTTTAGGGAAGGTTGTGGTTGTCGTTTATCATCCTCCTTCCTTTCAACCCAAAACTGCAGCTGCACAGAAGAATCTGCTGGAGCTTGCTAATTCTAAAGCCCTGCTGTGAAAGGGAGCTACAGTGTCCTTAAGAGCCACCCAAATCAAAATCACCTAATGAGTGCTTCTTGGCGATTATTACATAAATCTAAGCACATGAAAAACCTGTCAGACAGTTTCAAAGAACTGTTATCCTGCTAGTGCACAGGACAAATAAAACAGTCTGTACTACATTTATTTTGTTTGCACAAAAATAAAGAACAGGCACACATAATTAAAAAGAAAATGTACAATTAAAAGAAAACAAGAGAACGTTAATTATGGGAACAAATTAAGAAATCATGACCTCAAATAAAAGAAAATTAGATATAAATTGCAGAACATTTACTCAGATTTATTTTTATTTATACCCTTGTCCACTCTGGGGCTTCGCAATTATATATATTTAGCTATAAGTTTCTGATTAAAATAACGAGTCTGAGTCGATCAGAGGATTGTTTGAGAGACGAAGTTCCAGATCAGACATGTGCAGTGGGGGGTTTAAATTGGTAATTTAAGTGGACACAAATGCATGATTTGAATGGTGTTTTTCTGAACTGGATTGATTGAATTTTTGCTGAACCTCCACATAATCACTCTGGACACACAGGGTAAGTCCTGCTGATCGCTGTGATGAGTGAATCACATTGCTGTTTTAACCTTTTTGTTGCCATATGAAGGCCAAAGCAAATATAGCAGTGGATTTGGCTTTTTCAGGTGTTGGATTGCTGACTGGGGCTTGTTTACAGCTGAATTTTCTCACTGTGTAGTGACAGCAGGGTCTGCTGGGTCTGCTGAGTGTTTGTGTGAATCATATTGCTATTTTAGCCCTTTGTTTGAATGCGAAGACTAAAAGCAGAGCAATAATTTCAGGATTTTGTGTTTTTTTTTGAGATGGATTAATCGCTGATGCTGATGTCACAGCTTGGCAACACTCAGATAAACCTTTATAAATAGGTGATGTGTGTGTGTGTGTGTGTGTGTGTGTGTGTGTGTGTGTGTGTGAGTGTGAGTGGTGAGCTGTAAGTGTGAAAAGTTTTCTTCTTGTCTCTGCAGGCTGGAACAGTGCAGCATTACCAATGAAAGCTGTGCTGATCTGTTTAAAGCTCTGGAATCAAACCCTTCACACCTGAGAGAACTGAGTCTGAATAACAATAAACTAGGAGATTCAGGAGTGAAGGAGCTCTGTGATCTACTGAAGGATCCACACTGTAAACTGGAGAAACTCAAGTGAGTTACTGACTTACACACACAGAAATATTAGTCACTGATGTAATAATAATCTGAAAATCATAAGCTCTTCTAATCACACAATTGCCTGTATTTGTGTATGTGTGTGTGTTTCATGGGGTAATTTGTAGTATATTTGCTTCATATTTGGTGTTGGTGCACAACAAATAAATTCAAGAGGAAGCATATCTGTGAAAGCTTTAATGTAGAATTTAACAAAAGAGGCTTAGGACAGGGTTCATATTCAGCAACACAGACATATCTATATAAATACTCTAAAAGTGCAGTTATTCAGTTCCCTCTGTCTTTGCCAAAGCAAGAAATTATAGTTATGGCTCAATCCACGTTTTATACATGTTTATTCTGGAATGTCGAATAGGAACGTTTGATGTAAATGGAACATTTCATATAGTAGACAGTAGACAGATGAAAACATTAAAGCTTAACATAAAAACATAACTTCAATATTAGACTGTAAATAGAGAGGCACGTGGCTGCATCGATTAATGGAGATTTTTTGAGTCATTATATTTGTTGGAACATCATGCTCTACATGCTGTATGGCCAAACTAAGCTTGTGAGTTTTATGTATACTTGAGATGTTCTAAAACATTGGTCCATTCAAGGCCATGTGTTACTGTGTGCTCCATTTGAAATGGTATACTTAAGCAATACATACTAAATTCGATCCAGTATGTACTACTCGACAGTTAAAGAAGTACATACTTTCAGTATGCAAGTGCACAGTATCCACACATTCTCGGACACCCTGCATCTACCATCTTACCTATAACTGCACATTCTTTTATCTGTGACGTATCACCACTAGTGTCAAAGTTAAGAACTTTACTCACCCAAATTATTTTGCTTCTTTTGTTTTACTTTGTCTGCACCTCAGCCCAACGAGCCTGCCTGCTCTCCATAAGCACGACCACTTAATAGTTACACCACCATTGACTTATTAGTTTATTCAAGTTTTAGATTTCAAATCAATGTAAATAAAATTTGTCCTCAGAGAGACAATAATTTGTTATAATTAATTTTAACATGAAAAACAATAAATGATGAAGCATATAATTCATGCAAACTGCACTTTTTTGTTAATTTATTCAAAGAACAGGAGTTCTTCAAGGGTTCTTTAATAAGGAAAGAACCCTACTAAATAGAACCATGAACAATTTACATGATTCTGAGGTTCTTTGCATCATTAAATGGTTCTTCAGATTGATGGAGAATATGCTGTAGATGATTCTATATAGAACCTTTTTGAAAACGTTTATATATAGCACCAAACTGAAACATGCTAAAAAATTAGCCAAACCCAATAATTAAAAGAATAGGATGAGGCTAAACTGATCATTTCTAGTTTGGAAAGAGTAGTAGGGAGGGAGTAGATATCATAAATTGTATATCTAATTAAACAGCCTGGACAATCTATTTAAATGAAAATCTTCACTTTTACCTGCATCCACACATACTCAAATATTTTACTTTTTACAGTGGACTTTGTAGTTGTTTTATTTAACTGTTTATAATTTTTTAACAAACATGTCTAAAAGATGAAGCCTTTTTTCCTCTGTCAGCTTCTGATATCTTTTCTCTCAGTGAATCCAGTTCTCCTATCTTCATTTCCAGCTCTAGTTTCTCATTTTTGCCCTTCCTCTTCACCTTCCTCTTCTTTCCTCCCTGTCCTCAGCCTCTCTCCATCATCTGCTCTCCTGTTCTGCTTCTTTTCACTGTCTACCTTTTCTGTTGTTTTCTCTCTCCTCCATTTTTCTTAGCAGCTGCCAAAAGTCCGCTTCTGTTCTACTGTCCTTTATGGTGGCATCTGAACTCTCTGCTCTAACTGAGGGGGGTAAAGGTTCAGGTTTTTTTTTTTATATTTGATGTGTGCAGTTATATGAGTAACGCTTTACAATACAGTTCCGTAGAAACAAAATCATGGATGAATATAGTAATTATCTGTAAAGAACAAGGCATTTTTCTTTAATTACTTATGAAAGAATCAATTGTTTTCGCAGGTTAAACATCAAAGTACATTTACAGAATGAACAGACACACTAACTAATACAGTAACTAAGACTTACAAATACAGTGGCTAATATTAACTAATACAGTAACCATGATTAACTAATACAATGTACAACAAGATTAAATTAAGTAGTGACTAAGATTAATTTAAGTAGTGACTACGATTAACTAATGTAGTGTCTAAGGCTATGTTCACACAGCATGTAAGAGTGGCCCAAATCTGATTTTCTCACCAAATCCAATTTTTTTTTTTTTGGCTGTTTACACTATCTTTTAAAAATGTGACCTATAGGCGACATCAGTCTGATCAGATCAGCTCCTGAACCGACCCAAATGTGCAAAAGAACAATGCTTTGCTGTTTCAGCATTTCTTTTGAAATCTCTTCAAACATGGAGGGTTTCGGTCTCTTGTAATTTTTGTACAGAAATATCATCCCAAATGTTTGAGGTCTCAGCAGCGTGAAATTATGACGATTGTTGAGTTGGATTGACGTAAAAGTTGCATGATTTCTGATCTGGCTGTTCAGACTGAGTCGCATTGCCACAAATCAGATACGTGAAAGCGTCACATGTGAGAGCGTCTCAAATCAGAATTGAAAATGTCAGATTCAGTGTTTTTATCTGTTTACACTGACACACAGACACACATCTGTGTCAGATATGAAGAAAAAAAATTAATTTGGGCCACTTTTACCTGCTGTGTGAACGCAGCCTAAGATAAACTTAAGTAGTCACAAAACTTCACTTAAGTAGAGACTAAGATTATCTTAAAACCTGACTAACTTGTGTAGTGACTAAGATTAACTAATAAAGTGATAATCAATATGTAAGTTAAACTTAAGTAGGGACAAAGATATAGATAAGATTAACTAATATCATGATTAAGATTAACTTTAGTAGTGACTAAGATTAAATTAAGTAGTGTACCAAGATTAAATAACTTATGTAATGATTGATTAATATAGTGATTGTGATTAGCTTAAGTAGTGACAAAGATTATATATTTACTATGATTTAACTAACATGTTATAGAGTCTTATGTAGTGAGTAAGATTAAGTATTCACTCACAGGGTGAGACCCTCAAGGGTTCATCTCAGTACCTTTAGTCAGGGAACATAACTGTACCGTAATCCACTGAAATGATATGTTCTAAGTTGTACTGACTCCACACACCCCGTCTCGTCTCCAGGCTTTTATTTTATTGTTCTGTTTTAAAACATTAGGTTATGAAAAGGTGCAAATACATACAAAAATTGGACCTTAAAATCACTGTTGTACCTTTTGAGGGAACATTTACATTGTTTGTACCTTGATGAACAAAAAATGTACCTGCACAGAACCTTTATTTCTAACAGTGTGCCTTTTTGCTGGTTGCTTTCAGTTTATGGCATATGCATCAGCAAAAATGCTAACTTCAAAACACGCAGTAACATTAGTTTAAATTTCACACTGTTATTTGTCAATATGTGTCAAACAATGCATATGCAAAATGATACTAACACTAGGACAGTGTGCTTTGAGAGTTTCATATGAAGCATTATGGCATTTAAAGTTCGTGTTATACCCAAGCTTGAACAAAGATTTTGTCCCAATCGAAAATATGAACATTTTCTATTCCACCTCAAATGGTGCAGCAGTTATATCCTTGCACGTGTACAGGTGCCCGGATCATTTGTCTTGCGCTATGTTTGACAACAATATCCCGCAAATCCTTGTTTGTGTAAATGTAAGCACTGCTACAGACATTTAGATTACATGGATTGCTAACGTAACTTGTTAACAAATGGGAGAGGAAATGAAAAAATAGGCCATACAGCTGCTTTCATCTCTGCTGTGATGACGGCGGATTAATGTGGTCCTTTTGACACATCAAGATGCTTTAGCATTTGCACTACAAATGTAATGTTGTATGCATAATACATATGAATACACATTTTCCTCAGTTTATATAAAAAAAATAATTATTGTTTAAATAGGGTTTGAATAATATTAAATTGTAAATGCAATTATTTAATATTATAAATATTTAATAACTATTAACCTTTATTAGGATCTGATCTGCTCTTGGTTTTTGCAGCTAGAAAAATGAAAAGATTGTAACAAGTTAGTATAGCTGCAGGCTTTAAAACAGTACTTTAATTTCTGTCAGCTTTCACTACATTTCACTAATTATTGTTGGTTAACTAACATTAGTTACTTAATTTACATTAATCTCAGAATGCAGACAAAATACAAAAGACATTTAAATGTATTTTGGAAATGTATATATTTTATATGTGGTCAGGAGGCATTAATTTTGTTAAAACTTGCTGACACTAGCTAATGTCTCAGTATAATTCCATATGCATTATTTAACTGTTTGAATGTCTTCATTATTATTATAAATGTGAAAAGTAAAAATAAGGCAAATATTATAGTGATTTGACTGGTAATGTTTTTTGATATTAAAATGGTTAAATATTGAAATGTGTTTAAACTGGACTTTTATTAAATTTATTAAACCAATTCATTTAAAAAAAAAACAATTTGTGAATGAATGACATCAATAATGTTCTGTTTCACCTCTCAGCTCTAATCTGAGATTCTGAATGAGCTGAACGGGGGTAAGACTGAACTGCAAGATTCAGGATGGTGGTGGGCATTACTGGACCATTAAAAAATTATTCACTAAAATTATTTATTCTCTCTGAACTGCTCACTGGTTTGTGTGTCGTGTAGTGTGTGACTCACACGACATGAGTGAACTGAATAGACTGACTGTACAGTTACACAGGCTCCAGTTTGGAACAGAGATGAGCTGTAAGTTTTTCTCTTTTCTCTGCAGGCTGGCTGACTGCAGTATTACAGAGGAAGGCTGTGCTGCACTGGCTTCAGCTCTAAAATCAAACCCCTCATCACAGCTGACAGAGCTGAACATGAAACGTAATACACCCGGAGAGTCAGGAATGA